GGCAGGTCCCCGTGGCTTCTCTCCTGCACCCCCTCTTGGGAGCTGGAGCGTCTTGTTTTCTTTCTCACCCGCTTCCCGGCTGCCCCCCCCCCCGCCGGGTGCTGGGTGACGCGGACCGGTCCCAGCGGGGCGAGGGCGGGCTCACAGCCTCCGGCTCCCCCGCTGTCTGTAGGGCCGGCTTCGGCCCCAGGTGCAGTGCTCTCCCCTGGGGGGCTGTCCTGGCTGCCCTGCCCCTCACTCAGTGCCCGCCCCCCAAGCACATGCCTGGCGCCACGGGCACAGCTCAGGGCTTTCTGAACTGTTTCTGAGGCGTCCCGGCCCCTCTGCCTGCCCCCGGGGTACAGCTGGAAGGAACCCCTCAGGCTGACCTGTGAAGCCCTCCCCTGGAGTGTTTGCTGGATGTGCCTTGAGGCCACAGTGCGGGGAGGAGGCCTGACTGTGCCCCCCCCCCCAGGCACAATGACAATAAAACCTTCCTGGTGTGGATCAACGAGGAGGACCACCTGCGGGTCATCTCCATGCAGAAGGGGGGTAACATGAAGGAGGTGTTCACCCGGTTCTGCAATGGCCTCACCCAGGTCAGTCGGCCCCCAGCAGGAGCTGGCACCAGTGGGGGTTTGGTGCCAGGGAGGGGGCAGGGTCAGGCAGGGGCTGGTACCTGTCAGTCTCCCTGGGGAGCCCAGGGATCCTGCCAGGGGGCTCCTGGGTCCCAGCTGGTCCCTGCGGGAGGGGTGACCGGCCAGGTCTCACCTCTGGCGCCTTCTCCCCCACCTCAGATCGAAACCCTCTTCAAGTCCAAGAACTACGAGTTCATGTGGAACCCCCACCTGGGCTACATCCTCACCTGCCCATCCAACCTGGGCACGGGACTGCGGGCAGGTGTGCACATCAAGCTGCCCCACCTGGGCAAGCACGAGAAGTTCCCGGAGGTGCTCAAGCGGCTGCGGCTTCAGAAGCGAGGCACAGGTGAGCGGGCCGGGCCTGCCCACAGCTCCCCCGGGCAGCCCCCACCCAGCCCCACTGACCTGCCTGCCCCCCCAGGTGGCGTGGACACCGCTGCTGTGGGCGGCGTCTTCGACGTGTCCAACGCGGACCGCCTGGGCTTCTCCGAGGTGGAGCTGGTGCAGATGGTGGTGGACGGCGTGAAGCTGCTGGTGGAGATGGAGCAGCGGCTGGAGCAGGGCCAGGCCATCGACGACCTCATCCCCGCCCAGAAGTGATGCCTCGCCCGGCACCTGGCACAGCCACCAGCCCTGCTGCTTCCTAACTTATTGCCTGGGCAGTGCCCACCGTGCACCCCTGATGCTCGCCGCCTGGCGGCTGAGCCCTTAGCCTCGCCGTAGAGACTTCTGTTGCCCTAGGTAGAGTTTATTTTTGTGATGGTCAAGATGTTGCTGATGCTGAAATAAACTAGGGTTTTGGCCTGCCCTGAGTCTGTCCTTTCTGTGGTGGTGACCCTGCTGTGCCCACCGGGTCTTATTCCAGGAGCCCCTCTTGGCCACCCCTGCAGGCCTGGGGTGGGCTGGGGGCAGGGACAGGAGGAGTCCAGGATGGCAGAGCCCCAACCTGAGCGTCCAAGAGCACTTGTGCCTGGGGGTGCAGCCTGGCTCAGCTCAGCCCCAGCATGCAGAGTGGGGGAGGTGTGCACGCTGTGAGGAGGGGGGAGGGGCCCAGAAACTTGATCCCATTTGTTCCTCCACCCCCAAATCCCCCCCCCAACCGTGGTCCTCCAGGCATCCTGGCAGCCACCCCCCTCCCAACACCCACTCCATCTGCTAAATCATCTCTCAGCTGAACTAGCCCCTTGGACTCCCACAGTGGGTCCCACCGTAAGGTCCACGGCCAGGAGGGGGGCTGGGGCTGGTTTTCTTGGTCTGTTTCCCAGCCACGCCCCAGCTGCCGCTGTCCCTGACTGGTCTATCACCATGGGTGGGCACCCTGAGGGGCTCCACCAGGGCTTGGGGAGCAGGGGCGGGTCTGGTGAGTCAGCCAGGGCCTGGCTGTTCCTTCTCCAGCTCCTCAACGCCCAGGACAGTCTGTGCTGCCACCTGCTGGCCAGGGCTGCCTCTGTCCCGCCACTCCCCAGCCCCCACCAGGGTCTGGGGTGGCCCAACTCAAGTGTGGGCTGGGCAGGCCTTACCCTCCCAAGGTTACCCTGCAACTGGGAGAAGCCAGGCACAGCCTCTGTGCCTACCACACATCCTGGGCTGGGCAGACTTGCCCACTAAAGACTGTGGGCTCTCATTATCTGGGGCCAGGGCAGCTTGTTAACCCAGACCCCAGGGCTTAGGACAAGCTGTTGTGGCGGAAAGCGCAGCAGTGGAGGAGCTGCAGGGGTGTCCTGGCATCTGTCTTGGAGGCTGGGCTTGGTCTGAGGGGTCCAAGCAGGTGGTGTCCAGGCTGGAAAGGGCTGTCAGGGCCCTTTGCCAGGGACTGAGAGTCAACACCAGGCTGGGCTGGCCCCTGGTGCACAGGGCTGGTGGGGAGGTGAATTCCTGCACCCATCCTTCGGGCCCAGGCTGAGACAGGAAGGGCCAGGCCAGGGAAACATCAGGCAGGGCTCCCTTCCTGGCTTCAGAGTCCTTCGGCCCACTGGGGCTGGGTCAGGCCACATGGTAACTCGGGAGGAAGGGCTGAGCCAGCCCAGGAAGTACGCCCTCGGGAGAGGCAGGTGGCCCTGCAGAGGGAGGTGGAGGGCAGTGCATGCAGGAGACCACAGGGGCGCTGGGATGCCTTCCTGGCCCAGTCTCGCCGAGTCGCTGGCACAGAGGCCCTGCTGCGCAGTGACAGTGCGTGGGCCACAGGGTTCCTGGCCGGGTCTGCCTCTGCCCCTCCAGTGAGGGGATGAGTGTCCCCACCCCACCTGGATGTGTGCCCTGGGTGCCTGAGGGGCCTGCTCAGGCAGCCACATCACTTCCTGATAAAATATCTCAACCCCTCTCATCGCCTGGACTACAGAACAGGGCACTCCCTCAGCATGCCACCCAGGAAGGCCCAGGGTGGCAGGGCCGGGGCAGGGTTTCTCCCCAGGCAGTAAAGCCACTAAAGCCACCTCCCTCAGGGCTGGAAAGGCCGAACCCCACCCTCTCACCCAGGCCCCTCAGGAACCTGGCCAAGCAGGCTCCCTGGGGCTATGTCTTAGGCTCTAGCTGGACACCCGACTGGACACCGCAGCTAAGCTCCGGGCCACCAGACTTTCTAGCCACGTCGCCCTCCGCGGCACTCTGATTTCTCCCTGCATCTGCTGTACTGAACGCACGCTCTTAGCTGCCGTAACTCTCCGGGACAGGATCTCCGCTCAGCAGTCCACGCAGGGACCCTTTGACCAGGGCTCCACAACCTCCCCTTTCCTCTGGACTTTTCCTTGAAATTACGGTCAAACATGGGAAGCCTATGAAATGGCGCCACACGCTACAGAGGGAACACACTTTATTCACGTCTCAGGTGGCCACCGTGGCTAAGGAATGAGCCCACTGCCTGGTTTCCCTACTGCGGCCCCCGACATCCGGGCAGGACAGCTGTGGGGGCCTGTCCCCGGGCACTGCCAGGCGCTCATCCCCGGGGCCTCCAACTTCTAGATACCAGCGGTATTAACTACCCCTCCTCATGACAATGCAAAATGCCTCCAGACATTGCCAAATGCCCCATGGGGACTGAAATTGCCCCCTGCCCCTTTGAGAAACACTCAGTGCCCTGCAGAAGTAATTAAGAGATACAATTACACAGAGCAGGGAAGAACTGGTCAGACTGCCAACAACATAAAGGGCTGGTTAAACACCAGGGCACCCCCGAGGCACCACGCAGGCACCCACAGCAGCATGAAGGAGATGCCAGCGTGCTTCAAAAGTGTAAAATCGGGTTATAAAACAGCTTGTACTCAGATCCCACACAGAACACGTGGGAAAAACCCCAAGGAACAGTAGTGAGCTGTAGGTGGTAACAGGTGACTTCCTTCTTCAAACTTTACTTCCCAAATTTCCTACAGCGAACATGTCTTACATAAGCTGAACCAAATTCTTTAAATGTTTTTTTTCTTTTCTTTTTTCTTTAAATGTTTTTTTAAATGCTCTAATGTGTCAGTTCGTGGGAGACGACCGAGGCAGGACGTCGCTGTCCCCGCCCCTCATGAGCTCTGCTCGAACAATCACCACCCACCCTTGGGGGGAGGGGTGGAAACTGAGGCTTGGAGAGGAGGGAGGACTGGTCAGGGCCACCAGACCACCTGGCTCCAAGTCGTGGGCTCTTCTCACTGCTCTCTGACTTTCCAGAACATTCCGGCCCGGGTGTGAGTGTGCAGGACCTGCTGCTCTTAGCAGGAGCTGAGGAGGCGGCGGCTGCCTGAAGGTTCCTTGTTCTGTTTCTATTTGGAGCCCCGAGCTGACACCAGAGCCTCCTCCAGCACCCTGGGGCGGCACCTTGTACTCACTCGATTCGAGTTAATTTCCCTTCCCACAGCTAACAGAGGAAAACAATCTTTTGATGGCAAGAAGTCATCTTCGGGGCTGTAAGGTTTCCAGGAGCAGGACAGGATTTCAGCTGGAAGTGAGGCTTTTAACATGTTGGCTGAAGTCCTGGTTCCCAAGTCCGCCTGGCTGCGTTCGGCAGGAGGCACTCCTGGCGTGGGGATTCTTTCCACCTTTTTCCCCGAGCCGGCTCTGCAGACCTGGTTCTACGTGGTTTCAGAAGTCGGGACTTCCACACCCTTCTGAGCGCTGGGGCTCATCAAAACCGAAGGCCTGGCACCCTGGTCAGTGTGGCTCAGTATTTAGAGCATCAGCCTGCACACCAATGGGTCATGGGTTCGATTCCTGGTCAAGGGCACGTACCTGGGGTGCAGGTTTGATCCCCGGCCCCGATTGGGGCTTGTGGGGGAGGCAACTAATCGATGTGTCTCTCTTGCACTGATGTTTCTTTCCCCACACACTTCTCCCTCTCCCCCTTCCACACTCTCTAAAAAGCAATGGAAAAAAAATCCTCAGGTGAGGTTTAAAAAATAAACAAAAAACCACCTGAAGGCCTGGCTTAAATAATTAACTTCAGACCCAGAAAAGCTAACAGTACTCTTTGCAGCTCCTCCTGTTTCTGATGCCTCTGTGGAGGGCTGCTAGCCATCCTGCGACAAGGACGAGCGCCCTCGGCCTGGTGCACGCCTGTGACAGCTGGCACCACTCTGGACTTGGCGATGGGGACCGAGGCTGGGGCCCTGCTCCGGCCTTCACTATCCCTCCAGGCAAGGTGGGGCCCAGCTAGGTGCTCGCTGGTCTGCTCGGGGTCCTGCAGGGCTTGGCTGTGAATCTGTCCAGGAATTTAGTGGAAACTGACACCAGTGGTTGCAGACACAGTCTGGCCTTGGGCAGTCGCCATGCCAATGTGCACGTAGGGCGGCACAGGCAAGACCTGAGACTGATGGCAGGGCCACCAACCCCTCCAGACACCATTTTTCCTTTGCCATTTCGGTTTAACCGGGGGCTCCCTCTGCTTTCCACACTCTGCCCGGCCCACCCAAAGCCAAGGGCCCGCATCTGTTCCCCACCTGCCCCAGCCTTCCTTCTGGCAGGACCTCAGCCTCCCAGGTCATTCTCCTTGGGAGTTATCCTTTGTCACACTTCCCCTTCACACAACTGCTTCACTGGGGCTTTTCTGTCTGAGAATACAGACTCCGGGGTCAGGCCTTGGGTCTTCCCCCATTCACCCTGTCCCACCCCAACTGGTCTGCTTCCATGACTGGTACAGGTGGTCTGTGTGAACACATGCCCAGGTTATTCCAGAAATACATAACTTAGCAAAAAAACCCAACACCTCCATGAAATTTTCACTAAAATGAAGAGTCCAGTTTTGTCAACACTTTGACGCAAACTGCTCAGCACAGTAAGCTGCACTTCAAATGCATTTCGCTTTCAGGAAGACATAGTAAAGGTGCCGCAGAACCATCCACACCTGACACTGTGCATGGCGGGCCCCTGGCGGCACCAGCAGTCAGGGCCCCAGTGCCTGTCTCAGGGAAATGCCTCCCACTCTTCATTCTTCCTGGATGCCAGAGGGAAGGCTGAGGCGCTGAATGCTCTCCTGTCCCCCAGCCTTGAGGACAGAGGATGACAGGACTTTCCAGTTCAGTTTGTGTTTTGGTTCATTCTGTTAATGACCTCACAGTAGGAAATGCAGCGCAGCGCAACGTGCCTGCACACAGAGACACCAAGACAAAGGGTGCATGGCACGGCCTTCCTGGGTGACAGGACTCCTACCCACCACCAACAGGCCAAGAGCCCACAGGACAAGCCCATTGAGATTCTCCAGAGCTCGGAGCACACGGGGAGAGGACCCGGGCCAGGGCCAGGGGCAGCAGAGGCGGCAAACTGAGCTGAGGTGCGAGTGAGAACCCCTAGGACTGGAAGCAGCAGGTGCATCTGAGCTGGGTGCTGAAGAGCCAGGAGA